CTGATCTCTGCCTCCTGAGTAGTTAGGATTACAGGCATGAGCCACCAGCACCCAGTTTATGTTATTAATTTTTCTCTTTTACCGTCTTTAACCTTAAAAAATTTAAATATAGGAAAGTGTACAACATAATAGATACTACCTAGAATCAGCAAGTTATTACCAAGAAATAACAAATATATAATTCTGTGTTGGCTATAGATTTACTTATTTATTTGGTAGGACTGGGGTTTGAACTCAGGGCTTCGTGCTTGCAAAGCTAACACTCTATTGATTGGGCCACACCTCCAGTCCATTTTGTTCTGGTTATGTTGAAGATGGGGAGGTCTCACCAACTATTTGCCTGGGCTGGCCTCGAACCTTGATCCTCACGATTTTCCAAGTAGCTAGAATTACAGGTATGAGCCACTGGTCCCTGGCACTATATGTTTATTTTTTATTATCTTTTTTATATGTTTATTTTTGAATAAAAGGAAATGAAACATTTTTGCTATAGTTGAAATCTCTTTCTTTCTTCCTCTCTCCCTCTCTCTCTTTTTGTGGTGCTGGGGATTGAATCTAGCATGCTAGGCAAGTGCTCTACCACTTGAAGTACATCTTCAACCCTGAAGGTACTTTATTTTCCTTCCTTGCCTCATTTCTCTTCTTTTCCATCATGAATTTAGTGTGTTTCTAGTTCATGCTTTTAGACAGTCACTGTAATTGTGTATCTTTAAATAATAGTTATGATTGGAGTTGAATGTTTACTGTTTGCCACATACTGTTCATCTAATCAATAACCTTATGGTTAATATAAGGATTAAATGAACTAATATATTAAAAATATTATAATGTGGCTACTATTTTTCTTTCTATTTTACAGTTGGGGAACTGGGATTGTAGAAAGGTGAAATAACTTGTGTAGGGTCATATGAGTGCAAGTTATAGAGCAAAGATTTGAGCCCAGATTGTTTACTGTAGCAGTCATAATGTTCATTACTATAGTATCCTGCCTCTTTATAATATGGAATATATGTATTATTTTGTGTTTTAAAAAATACATTTAAAAATAGAAATTGTATTATATTGTAGGGGTGGCCATGTAGTTTTTTCGTTGTTGTTGTTTTTGGTTTTCTTTCCTTTGGTACTGGGGTTTGAACTCAGGGCCTTCACCTTGAGCCACTCCATCAGTCTTTTTTTGTGATAAATTTTTTTGAGATAATGTCTCATGGAACTATTTGCCTGGGCTGGCTTTGAACCTTGATCCTCCTGATCTCTGTCTCTAGCTAGGATTATAGACATGAGCCTCTGGCGCCTGGGTAATGCAACTTTTTTGATCACTTTAAAACTTTTTTCAATGAAATTTTGATATCACTAACTAAACTTACTTTCCTCCCTCCACTCAGCATTGCTTTTAAAATACACCCGCATTACTACAGATAATTTATATAAGTGCTATACAGTTCACTGAGAAATATGCTACAATTTATTCCTCCTGTAGGTGTACTTTAGGTTGTTCCTCCCTGTTACATATAATGGTAAAATGAAAAAAATTAGCCAAATATCTTTGTTCAGGTTTCCTGTACTTGAGATGGATGGCTTGCTATGTAGCCCAGGTGGGCCTCAAACTCAGTAGGTATCCCAAGCTACCTTGAACTCACGTCTCCTGCCTCACCCTCCCTAGAGATGTGATTATTGGAGTGTCACCAGGCCACTGCTAAGCCTACAGTATTAAAAAAATATGTTTTCCTCCTTGAAAAGTGCTGTGAGCAAAGATATGTTATTTATTTTTAAAAATAAGAGTATTAAAATTGTGGGCAGGGGGCATGGTTAAAGCACTTGCCAAGCAAGCATGAGGTCCTGAATTCAAACCCCAGTCCACCAAAAAAAAAAAAGTAGGTTTTTTTGTAAAACTTTTAACAGGACTCCTACCAAACCAACTAAATTGGAATTAAGCAAGTCCTTACCTGTTCCTGCCTAGCTGAGAATGTAAAACCAGACCCATAGAGTACAGCAAGCAATTTTGTCTTCTGTGCTTTAGTAGAGAAAACTAGGATCTTCCATCCCTAGGAACCCTGAGGGCATTGAGGAGATTAATAATGCATTTCATTAAAAATTAAATATAGCTGAGCATAGTGGTTCACATCTGTAATCCCAGTATTCAGGAAGCAGAGGCAGAAGGATTAAGAGTTTAAAGCCAGCCTGGGCTATCTATCAAGACCCTGTCTCAAAACAACCAAAAAAACCAAAAAAACAACCCCCCCCACACCCCAAACAAAAAACCCTTCAACGCCCCCCAAAACTACATGTATTATGTATATATCTGAAATAATAAAAAAGTCAGTAGATGACAAATCTGTCAAATTGGTTAACTATGTTTTATATATTGAGTTTCAATTTACTGTAGTTTGTTTTTGTAAAGTTGAGTTTCTTTTTCTTTTCTGTTTCTATCCAAATTCAGTTGGTCTGGCCTTCCTCTGCACTTAAGTCTCTATCCTCTGTTCTACTCAGATGACTAGTTTAACTCCTTCTAACTTTCATAGCAGAAAAGCATGGAACAAGTAAGTATGAAATGCAAAGATCTTGAGCTTTGGTTAAGATGGAGCGTGGATCCAGTTCTGCCACCTGTGTCTTCTTAGGCAGGTTACTTAACCTTCTGAACCTACTTTTCTTTCTTTCTTTCTCTTTTTTTTTTTCTGTACAATGGAGATAACAGCTACTTTGGAGGTATGTTTTGAGAATTAAATGAGAAAATCTTGGTAGAATTCCTGGTGCTTAAAAAAGAAGCTATTAATATTCCCTCTCCTGCTGTAAGAGGATCTTCAGCTCAGAGAATTCACAAGAATCACTGTGGAGCTTAGTTAAATTTCCATGCCTTATCCCCAAGAGATCCTGATTTAGTATGTCAGGCATGAGACCTAGAACTCTGGGTTTTGAAGCAGGTAATTAAAAAAATTTTTTTTCTTTCTCCTTTTATCATTTTTACATTTACTTACATGTGTATATATTGTTTGTGCCACCTCCCCCAGCCTTCCTGCTTCCAGGCAGAACCTGTTCCACCTGATTTTGTTGAAGAGAAAATATAAGAGATAATAAGAAAGACATATCATTATCTAGTTTGGGATAAAGATGGCTATACAGAGAGATTCCTAGCATTGATGAAGCAGGTAATTTTGAAGCAGATGATCAGTAGACATAACTTTAAGATGTGTACTCACATGGGTACTTGGTTTTAAGTTTAGCTTTGTTAATAACTAGCTTATAGCATTTACTGAAAGCATTTCCACTTCTTTGGCCTTGCATTTTGTCAAATATAAAATGAATGACTGTACTTCATGAACCAACTGGCTATAAAATTAAAATTTTTTTGTTTTATAGCTCTAACATTTGTTCTGGGACCTTAAATATTTGGCTGGTTGGTCCTACTGCCACTGTTTGGTAGTAGCTCAGTAGAGTAGCTCAATAGGTGGTGGGGTTTTGACTCAGGGCCTTGTGCTTGCTAGATAGGAAGTCTACCACTTGCGCCATGCCTCCAGCCCCTAAATGTTTTTGTTTTTTTGGGAACTTGGATTATTTTTCCTTCAATAAAGATTCTGGTAAAACAAGTTTAAGTAAAAATAATCTATTTTTAAAGATACAGGGATCTCTTATGGAATCTTAAGCCAGAATTCAGTTAGGACTCAGGAATTAGGGACTACAGTACAATAGGGGAATCAAGCCTCTGTCTCTCCTCTCTCTCTCCCTTTCTCCTCTTCTCTGCAAGTCGGCCTCAACCTCTTGATATTTTCTGACCTTCAGGCTGCGTGGTAGACAACAGCTATGGCCAGCAGCTCCTGAGTTTACATGGTCTCCACTTTAGAAAGCACTCGTGTTGAGGCTGGAATATCTTAATTCCAATTCCACATTATCAGGAAAGCGTCTGGTTCATATTGGATAGAGTGCTGACTTTTGGCTGTGGGAAGAGAGGCAGGTCACGTTGAATGGATGGCCCTGGGAGCCCTGCCACTATTCTCCATGGTTAGAGATGAAGGAGGTAGGCTGAGTAGGTATTCACCACATTTATGAAAATGTCTCACTAGTTGAACAGTCACAATGTTGTATTTTGCATGTGAAAAGCAGAAAAGGGAATAAAACCCCTCACAGAATAAAAACAATGTTATATATTGCATAGGGCCCTTATAATCAATTCTCATGGGTTGAGGGGAGGGAAGGGAGTGGAAGTAGGGACACTGGCTGAAAGAAGAAGTGAATTTGTGCTTTTATCCTTGTTAATGTATATATTGGAACCTTTTTTTTGTGTGTGTGTGGTACTGGGGCTTGAATTTAGTGCCTTCGCCTTGAGCCACTCCACCAGCCCTTTTTTGTGAAGGGTTTTTTTCAAGATAGGGTCTTGGGGAACTATTTGCTCGGGCTGGCTTTGAACTGACATCCTCCTGACCTCTGCCTTCTAAGTAGCTAGGATTACAGATGTGAGGCACCACTTTCATTTTTTAAAAAATATTTTGGCTTCATTTTTCACAGTATGTGAAGCTGTAAAAAGCATTGGTGAGAGCACAGAATTTTGAATTAGTCTTGCATTTTAATTTAATCTCTACCAATTAGTAACTGTATGATTAGTGACCTTGCTGTAAAATGAACATAATAATTCATATTAATAGATTATTTGAGGATCAAATGACATGATATAGGTAAAGCTCTTAGACTAAGCACATGCTCTGCTAATACTATTGTTTCCTGGAAAGTGGTGGTTGATGGAATGATGGATACTATCATTGTTATTTTGTTACCTAGAATGTAATTGATGATGGTCATTGTATTCTGCTCAAGTTAAAGACTGGCTACATCTTAGGTTTTAAGTGTATCTGGTTTTTTTTTTTTAATTTTTTTTTTTTAAGTAAAGACATAAAAGTACCAGAAAATTTGGAGCTAGAATGTAAAAGGAAATATTTTTGCATTGAGAGTTCATTGATTTGATGTATTTATTCATTACTGGTTTTAATGAAAAAAAATTTTTTTTGTCTCATTTAGTGTCAAGTTGGAAGAGAAACACAATTCAACGAAAACTTATTATGTGTGGAGTTCCTTTTTAAAAGAAGAAGTGATTATTGATTATGGATCGGAGCAAACGGAATTCATTTGCAGGATTTCCTCCACGTGTGGAGCGTCTTGAAGAGTTTGAAGGAGGTGGTGGAGGGGATGGGAGCATGACCCAGGCTGGAAGAGTTTGGCCATCTTCGTATCGAGCTCTTATAAGTGCCTTTTCCAGACTGACGCGCTTGGATGACTTCACCTGTGAAAAAATCGGGTCTGGCTTCTTCTCTGAAGTGTTCAAGGTGAGTGAGTGATGCTTCAGCTTATTTCATATGTCTTGCTGCTGGTCAGATTTAATGCAGAGCTGATAGTTGAGTTTAACTAGAACATCAGTTTTGCCTAGTCAGGTGCTGTGGATCTTGAATACTATTCTAAACTCTTCTCCCAATCTAGTTATTAACTTTAAGATATTTTATTTGTGTCAATTATACAAATAATACAGGCTGATCAAAAATTCAGTGAATATAGGAGTCTCTGCCACCCCTTTCTGCCCCATTCACATATGTATGTGTACACGTAAATGTATGCACATATGTATCCTCCAGTAACAACCACTATTTGATGTGAATAATTCTGAACCCTTTTCTGCATTTATACATGTTGTATATACACATATATCCTATATATATATACATATGTATACATGCACACATATATAAATTATATACACACAGCATACACTTTTTATTTTGCTTTAATTTTTGGGGGCAGAATTGCAGTTTGAAATCGAGCATCTTATGCAGGCCCTCTACTGCTTGACACGTGTGTCTACGCCTGTTTTTGTTTTTTGAGATAGTCTTGCTATATTGTCCAGGCAGGTCTCGTTTTTTTTTTTTTTTTTTTTTTTGGTGGGACTGGGGTTGAATTCAGGGCTTCGTGCTTGTAAAGCAGGCACTCTACTGCTTGAACTATATCTCCAGTCCATTTTGCTCTGGTTATTTTGGAGATGAGGTCTGGTGAACTGTTTGTGTGATCCTCCTGATGTAAGTCTCCCAAGTAGCTAGGATTACAGGTGTGAGCCACCAGCACTGGCTCAGTATTTCTCTTTTTTATGACTGCCTTATTTCATTTAGCCTATTTAAAATTTTTGATGAACAACCAAACTTTTCTCCAGTAGTTGCACCATTTTACATTCCTAACAGCAATGTATAAGGGTTCCAATTTCTCCACATTCTCACTACTTGTTCTTTTCTAAAATTTTTTTTTTGTAATAACCATCCTAGTGAGTATGAAATGGCATCTCACCATGACTTTTCTTTGCATTTCCTTAATGACTGGTGACGATAAACGTCTTTTTATATGCTTATTGGCCTTTTATATTTCTTGGAGAAACGTCTACGTAAGTCCTTTGTACTTTTTTGAATTGGGTTGTATTTGTGAATTTCATGTATAAGGGATATTACTATATTCCTTATCAGATATATGATTTGCAAATATTTTCTCCTATTATGTGGTTCATTTTTTCAGTCTCCCCCCACCCCCACCCATTTTTTTTGAGGCAGGTCTGATTATGTTACCCAGGCTGGTCTCAAACTCCTGGACTAGTTAGCCTTCTGCCTCAGCCTCCAAGTAGCTGGGATTATAGCTGTATGGTACCACCTCTGGCTAAACTTTATCTTTTAGAGCAATAGGCAAGCACTGTACTTCTTGAGCCACATCTGCAACCCTTTTTGCTTATAGTTAATTTTCATATAGAATCTTGTGCTTTTTGCTCAGCTGGCCTCAGACTGCAATCTTTCTAACTATGCCTCCTGAATATCTGGGATTACAGAAGTAATTTACTTCATGCTTGCCTTGTTCTTTGAGAGGGTCTCATTAACTTTTTTTTTCCTGGCTGGCCTCTCACTGCCATGCTCCTATCTCTGTCTCCCAAGTAGCTGGGATTACTGGCATGAACCACCATGCCTGGCTTATTTATTTTTTTAAATGATTTTGTGTGTTTGTGGTGCTGGGAATTAAACCCAGAACTACATCCCCAGCCCTAAATAAACTTATATTGATGTGACTATCTACATTTATATTAGAGTTCATTTTTGCTATTGTGCATTCTGTGAATTTTAACAAATGTATATTCCTCATTGTAGTATCATGCAGAATAGTTTCACTGTTGTAAAAATTCCCTGTGCTCTGTTCATCCCTCCCTAACCCACGTCAACCACAAGTCTTAAACCGTCTCCATAATTTTACTTTCTCAAAATGTGACGTAGTTGAAATCATGTAGTGAACAGCCTCTTCATGCTCACTTTTACTTCATAATATGCATTTACATTTCATTACTTTTCATGGTTCCATAGTTCATTTCTTTATAGTACTGAATTACATTTTATTGTCTGAAGGACTGGGGGTGTGGTTCAGTGGTAGAGCATGTGTGAGGGCCCTGACTTCAACCTCCAGCACCAAAAGAAAAAAAGTTCATTGGATGTATGTACCATAGTTTATTTATGCACTCACCTACTGAAGGACATCTTGGTTGTTCCATGTTTTGGCAATTATGATATTGCTGTAAACATTCACATACAGGTTTTTGTGGGGATATAAGTTTTCAGTTCATCTTAGTAAATACCAAGAATCATGACTATTGGATTGTATGATGAAAGTATGTTCAGTTTTATAAAATGACATTACCATTTTGCCTTCCAGCCAGCAGTGAATTGAGAGAGCCTCATCAGCATTTGGTGTTATCAGTGTTGTGGATCCTGGCCATTTTATTTTATTTTACATGTAGTAGTACAGGTTGAGTATGCCTTATCTGAAAAGCTTGGGACCAGAATTGTTTTAGATTTTGGATTTTTTCAGATTTTACAATATTTGCATATACATACTGAGGTATCTTAGTTATGGGACTCAAGTCCAAACATGAAATTCATTTCTGTTTCATATGTATCTATACATATAGCCTGAAGGTAATTTTGTATAATATTTTAGTATATGTGCAGTTTTTGTTTGTTTTTTGCTATACTGAATCTTGAACTCAGGGCCTACAGCCTGCTTGGCCAGTGCTCTACTAATTGAGGCATACCCTCAGTCCTGCACCTGTATTTTAATCATTATCTACCATAAAGTCAGGTGTGAATTTTCTACTTATGGCAGTGCCCAAAGAGTTTTGGATTTTGGAGCATTTTAGTTTCTGGAGTTTTGGATCAGGGAGACTCAACCTGTATTTCATTGTTATTCTAATTTGCAGTTTCCCAGTTATCTTTTCATCTAGCTACTTGCCATCCATATATCTTAATTAGTTAGTTGTCTGTCAGGGCTTTTGTCCATTTTAAATTGGGTTATTTTCTTATTATTGAATTTGAGGGTTTTTTTTAATATTTTGGATAATAGTCCTTTATCAAATGTGTCTTTTGCAAATATTTTTTTCTCAGTCTGTGGCTTATCTCATTCTCTTGACATTGTCTTTCACAGAGCACAAGTTTCTGTTTACTTATTTTTTGGCAGTACTAGAGATCAAATCCAGGGCCTCATACATGCTAGGTAAGCACTCTACCATGGAGTTATACCCCTAGCTAAAGTTTCTAATTTTAATGAAGTCCAGCTTATCAGTTATTTCTTTGAAGGATTGTGAGTTTGATGTTATATTTAAAGAGTCATTGCTAATCTCAAGTCCATCTAGATTTTCTCCTATGTTGTTTTGTAGAGGTTTTATAGGTTTACATTTTACACTTAAATCTATAATTCATCTTGAGGGTTTTTTTTTGTGGTTTATTTAGTCTTCTTTGTTATCATTCATCAGAGTTTTCTTGTTTTCCTCATATAAATCTCGGGTATATTTTGTTAACTTTATACATAAGTATTAAATTTTGCCACATCCCACAAATTTTTAAAAAGTTGGAGTTTAAATTTTATTTCATGTAATATATTCCAAATTTTCTCTTGAGTCTTTGTTGACTCATATGTTATTTAGAAATGTATTGTTTAATCTTCAGGTATTTTGGGATTTCCAACCTATCTTTTTGTTAATTGATTTCTAGTATAATTGTGGATCTGAGAACAGACATTATATGATTTTATTCTTTTAAGTTAAATAAGGTATATTTTATGGCCCCAAATGTGGTCTATTTTGACATATTTTATAGATATGAGAAGACTGTAATCTGCTGTTGGATTAAGTGTATAGATACCAGTTTCATCCATTTGACTCATGGTCATTAATCTCTGTTCAATCCTGTCTTTACTAGTGTTCTGTCGGCTGTACCTGTCCATTTCTGATAGAGGGGTGTTAAAGTCTTCCATATTGAATAGTGGATTCATCTATTTCCTATTGGATTCTATCAGTTTTTTTCCCTCATGTATTTGGCACTCTGTTTTTAGGTGCATATACATTTATGTTGTTATGTCTTGGTGTATTTACCACTGTATCACATGTAATGTTTCTTTTTATCCCTGATAAAATTTTCATTACTTTGGAATCTACTGTCTCTGAAACTAATAAGGTTCCTATTGCTTTCCTTCTTTCTTCCTCTCCTCTCCTCTCCTCTCCTCCCTGCTCCTCCTTCCCCTTCCTTGTCCCCATCTCCCTCCCCTCCCCTTACCTTTTGGTTTTTAGAAACAGTCTTTCTATATAGTCCAGGCTGGTGCCAAACTTCTTGTGATCCTCCTGCCTCAACCTCCCAAGTGCTGTGAACTACCATTTTTTGGACGAGGCTCATGTTTTCCCTGGGGCTGGCCTCAGACTGTGATCCTTTTACTTATGCCTTCTGGGTAACTGGGATCACAGGCACGAACTGCTTTTTTTGTTGAGAAAAGTTCTCACTAACCGTCATCCTTTTGATTTCTGCCAGCCGAGGAGCTGAGATTACAGACATGAGTCGCATGCTTGGTCAGATATATTTCTTTTAAAAGTATTCTTAGTGGTTGCTCTAGCACTTGTAATGTGGAGATTCCATGACTTACAATGGTTTGACTTACCATTTTTTGGATTTTATGATGATACAAAAGCAATATGCATTCTGCGAAATCTCTGCTGTGAATTTTGATCTTTTCCTGGGCTAGTGATGTGTTGGGTGATACTCTCTTCTCTTCTTGGGCAGCAGCAGTAGCTGCAGCTCCTAGTCAACCACATGGTCACCAGGGTAAATAACCAATTGGTAAATAACCAATTCTCTGCAATGTACTGTGTGCCATTGTCTTTTGGGTGTTGTGTTTTCACATCCCATCATGTTTACAAGATACCCATTTGGGGTGTGCATGTGTGAGATATTTATTTAAAATTACACTTGTTAAAAATAAGGTGTGGTGG